TGCCCTTCACCCTCGAAGGAAGAAAGCGACCTACACTGCTCCCGTCGACAGCTCCTCGACCGTGAACGCCTCCACGTAGAGGTGCGGTTTGCTGAACCTCCAGATGAGCGAGTGCAGCACTCCGTTTTCTTCCTCATAGAAAACGCGCAGACTCAGGATGCGGCCGACGGGCGGGGAGAAGCTTACCCAGGAGAGGCGGGCGCCGGCTTCCACGAAGGTGGGGCTGTGGGCGGGGGGCGGGCGTCAGAGGAGGGATAATGCACTCACGCATACACACGCGAGCACGCAAATACACACACACACACATAAGCGAATGCACACGTACACATACGCACATCTAGAAAATCATCGTCGTGTGTGTTATATAGCTTTTTATCTCTCACTTTACAAGATAAGAAAATCGATAGCAATATAATGAACTGAATGAAAAAAACAGCCGGCATAAAACACAAGTGACCTGGCCTGACCTCTCCGGCGCGGGGAGGGGATGTACACCCCTCTGGCCATGCAGTCCGACGGTGAAGCGTGCGAGGTCACCATCGGAGCTGACCTTGGTGCTGGCCGATGACGTAATCACTGTTATGCGATACTGCTCAGCTGAGAGAAGAAGCAGAGGAACCATTAGCAGCAAGAGGAAGAACACGAACATCGTTATTATCATTGTCAATGTGATCATTATATTCACTGCAAAAAATAATGAAGATCTTGATAAAGTTACAATGATAAATGGTATCCAGATAAAATGTCAAGATAATCCCGGCAGTCAGCGCGGCACTCCCAGGGGCTCTTGGGGCCACCCTGGCGAGCCCTTAGGGAGGTATCCCGAGGTCAACGGCAAGCGCTTAACCCTCTGGACGCGATGGCATATTGTGTCCTGACTGATAGGGAGCAAGTAGCGGGTGGCAATTGCATCACGACGATCCCCTTAATCTTGCTGTTCGTTTGTCTCAAGAGTGGCTTGTGGAAATGGTAATGGTCTTAACCATAAACAAGGCGACATTCATGGGACTTGGTGGATTGCGTCTTGCCATTGCAAAGGTTGAAATCGTTTAGAGGGCGCACAATAATCCTTTCGATAATTTTTAGAAGAAACAGTTTCAGCGAGGTGATACAACGGCTGGGTGAGCGATGATACCAGGGAAGGTGCTACTCTATTCTCGCCTCTGTGATTGTAGCTTATTATGGAACCTCTTTCTTGCAAATTATCCTCGCTTGTCTATGAAGGTGATTAAAACGTTTTCCGGTCGAAGGTCCGATATAAACGTATAGGGTTGCAGCTGCCCTAGACCTGTATGATATCCCCTCATTATAAAGTTCAGCCCATTCGGAGGCCCCCTTGGAAGACTGGTTAAATTATTTGTATGCATCTGTGCCTGTTGCGAGGACAGAGTACGGGTTCAGCACTCTGACTTCTTTCTTTCTCTCTGAGTCGCCGGCCTCCATTCACAGCGCAGCGCCGTCGCCAGAATTTCTCGTAACTGAAGCGCACCAGCTATGCCTCTTGCCTGAGCATTTCACCCCCCTTATCCCTTTTCCAAGCACCGAAAGGACTCACCACAAAAAGGCTTCTGACTGGCGGTGCCAAGGAACACCTTCACCGGGAATCCTGACACTGTCGTTGGCACTTCCGTCGCGTGAGTCATTGCGGAGTCATTGGCTCTGCTCTCTCCCTGCGTGCTATTGGGGTTCCTCGTGTCACTGATGCTGTCACTGATTTCCTCGTCGGCTGGCTGAGGAGTGCCAGCACGAGGCGTCCCAGGCTGAGGCGAAAGTGCCAAGGGCGTGGCAGAGAGGCCCATGGTTAGGCATCGCCCTTTCTTCTCCTTCTGGTCCTCCGTACAGCCCCAGCAGGAGCCGTTAAGGTACGCCTCCCAGGATTCACACACGACGCCTATGAAGCCACACCTGGGGAGAGGGGCGGCCAGTGAGACGGACATGCACACGGATTGTGTTAGAGAAATGGGGGGGGAGGGAAGGAAGACGGAATTGAGGGAAGAAAGGGAGGGAGGGAAGTATGGAAGGAAGGAGGGAGGGAAGTATGGAAGGAAGGAGGGAGGGAGGGAAGTATGAAAGGAAGGAGGGAGGGAGGGAAGTATGGAAGAAAGGAGGGAGGGAGGGAGGTATGGAAGAAAGGAGGGAGGGAGGGAAGTATGAAAGGAAGGAGGGAGGAATCGATTAAAAATGAGGAAAATGAATTTATCATAACTAATGCAAAAGATAGTGGTGCGTTGTTGAAGCTCGTGCTGAAGCGATTGCGGCACACCTGAAGGGATTGTGGGCCATCAGCTGATACTTTCAAGTTCTACTTCAGGCTGCAGTTGTTGCCCAATCGACCGCGCTGAAGCTGGCACTGAAGGCGCTGATAAAACTTCAGCAGAAGCTGAAGCTAGCGATAAGGATGGTGCTGAGAGAGGGAAAGAGAGAAAGAAAAAGAGAGTGGGGAAGGACTGAAAGAAAAAGAGAGGGGGGAAGGAGAGAAAGAGAGAGAGGAGATAAAATAACAAATATTCAAAATAACACAAAATCAAAGAGAAAACACCTTCCATAAACATCATTTACCTAGAATTAACGGACTCAGTGAAGTACTCGTGAGATCTCTGGTGGTTGCAGCCTATATAGGAGAGCACCCCCTCGGCCACGCTCGCGTTGTTTCCTATGTGGCTGTGGACGGACCCCTGGCACCCTGCTTGGACCGAGCCGCCGTTGGGGTAGAAGTCCACGTGGCCGAGCGGCGCTGGATGGCCCAGCTCTGGGAAGGCAGACGCACAGAGTAATGGAATGGTGGTAGGAAGGGGCGTTGATAAGTGGAAGGAAAACGAATAGTTGTAATTTAAGAGACGAGGAATTATTAAGGGCCCAAGTGTTCGGTATTTTCTAGGTGAAGCGAGAGACTATCACTAAATCGATTGTGGAGCTAGAGCATGATAGTGATAGAGGCTGTGACAACAACAGCAACAGCATTAAAAGTAATGATGATAATAATAGTTCAGTGACGTTGATGGTAAGAATGATAATAATAATAACAATAATTAGAGGTGAACCGGATATCTGAATGCTATGCTATCATACACTGTACACATCGGTTGGATTCAGCAGTTACCGAGACATAACATTTAATTACCAAGGCTGTCAACATTTCACCTTACATCATATTTTGAACAGATCAAAATAACATCTTCAGGCAATATGATGATGAAAACTATCACTACAAAAACACAATAACAGGAAAACAAAAATGCAAGAGCATGAGTGATAACCTGAAGAGACAAAGGACTGTCTTCATTGATCATGTAAAACGGCCGACTGTAAGACTGAAATAGCGAAAGTGCCGCACTTGGGGCGTGGCGGCCCGCGTGTTGGACGCCCCGGCACTATGGTATACTGCCCAGGCACATTATTCTTAGTAACAAAAAAAGGAAGCATTGTTAGCACATAGCTTGATTCTACAATGTACTCAAATTATCAAAAGCTGATATCAATCATGGCCGTCAATTATCAATCAGCTTCCTTAAACTGACAAAAAATAATAAATAAAACTTGCCGAAGAAGAGAAACGGACGAGATTAGCACAAACAAAACTACTTATGATGATGAGGATGGCGATGATGATGACGACGACGACAATGATGATATTGACAGTTATCACTATTATCGTTGTTATTATCATGGCTATTATTATTATTGTTAATATTATTATCTTTATATTTTTATTATTATTATTATCATCATTACTTATCATCATTTATTATGAATATCATTATTATTATGAATATCATTATTGTTATTATCATTATCATTATTATTATCATCATAGATATCATTATTGTCATTATTATTATGATAATAATTTTATCATTATTATTATTATTATCATTATTAACATAATAATAATTGTTATCATTATTGTTATTATTACTATTATTATCATTAGCATTACAATTATTATTAGTAGTATCACTATTATTATTACTATTGTTATTTTATCATTATCATTCCTGTCATTATCAATATTACTATCATTATTATTATTACTATTATTATCATTATCATTATGATAATTATTATTATCATTATATTATCATTATTATTTCTATTATCACTATTATCAGCATTATTGTTTTTTCAGAATTCTCATCATTATTATTCATACTATTATCAATATTATTATTATCAGTATTATCCTTATTATCATCGATATTATCATTATCATTATGATTATTATCATTATTATTATTATTATTGTCATTATCATTATCGTTATTATAATTATTGTCATTTTCATTATCGTTATTATAATTATTGTTATTATCATTATTATTGTTATTGTTATTATTATTATCCTCATCATCATTATCATCATAATTATTATGATCTTTACTATTCCTATTACTATCATAATTGTCATCATTTTTACTCCTATCAATTATTATTATCATTATCATCATCATCTATATTGTTATTATTATTATTATTATTGTTATTATCATTATTATTATTATTATTATCATTATTATTATCATTATTATTATTATCAATATTATTACTACTACTACTGCTACTACAATCCTTATTATCATTATCATCACTATTATCTTCAATATCATCATTTCTATAGTAGGTTTAGCAGCAGCAATTGTACTAATATCAGTTATAATAGTACTGCTCCATATAATAATAGTATTAACAATAATAATAACAATAAAGATAATGACAATACTAATGATGATAATAACAATTATGATAATATGAAGAATAGTAATGTTACTAATGTTACTAATGATAATAACAATGATAATGGTAATAATAATAATTACTGTTATAATTATATTAACAATACTAATGGTAGTTACTGTTCCCAGTATTTTTTCTTTTATAATTATTATCATTATTATAATTACTGTTATTAATAATAATAATAATAATATCACTATTATTATTGTCATTAATATTATTATTATTATTATTATTATTATTATTACTATTACTATTATCATTATCATCATTACTGTTAATAATAGTATTATTATTACTATTATTATTATTATTATTACTATGATTATATTATTATCATTATCATTACTATTACCGTTATCAATATCATCATCATTATTATTATTATCGTTGTTATTATCTTATTATCATCATCATCCCTATAATTATCACAAGTATCAATATTATTATTATCATTATTACTATTGTTGTTGTTGTTGCTGTTGTTGTTCTCATCATTATCATTATTATTACTGTCATTAATATGACTGTCCTGATTATCATTACTGTTGGTGTCATCATTACCAGTATTTTTAAGATTGTTATTATCACCATCATTATTATTATAGTCATTACTAGTATCGTTATCACTATTACTATTATCAATATCAATATTACTAAAGTAGTAGGACTAACAGTAGTAGTAATATTAACAACAATACTACTACCACTACTGATGGTAATAATAATGAGAATGATGATAATGATGATTAGCATTAAAGATGATAATAATTACAATAATAATAATAATAATAATAATAATAATAATAACAATAATAATAATGATGATGGTAATAATAATAATAATAATAATAATAATAATGATAATAATAATAATAATAATAATAATAATAATAATAATAATGATAATAATAATAATAGCAATAATGACAATAAAAATATAATGATTACGATAATGATCAAAGATGACAAAGGCAGTGCTAATGATGATAATAACAAAACAGGTAATCATAGCACTAAACACAATAACAGCCCTAATGAGAGGCATAATAAGTGCAGTGCAGCCACTGGGCAGCAAATGAGCGGGGCAGGACGAGCAACATCAACACTAGATAAACAAACGGACAAAAAAAAAACAAAAAAACAAGCTAAGTATACATGCTATAATGCATAATAAAGAAGAACAATGATATTTAAAAATAAATAAATAAAAGATGATAATCAACAGACAAAAAAAAGAAAAGAATAATTTTAAAGACATATATATATATATATACACACACACACACACACACATATATATATATATATATATATATATATATATATATATATATATATATATATATATATATATATATATATATATTATATATTATATATATATATATTATATATCATAAATATATATATATATATATATATATATATATATATATATATATATATATATATATATATATATACAGAGAGAGAGAGAGAGAGAGAGAGAGAGAGAGAGAGAGAGAGAGAGTGAAGAAGAAGAGAGAGAGAGAAATGATAATCAACAAAAAGGAAACTATACATACTTGCCACTACGCATAATTAACGAATTGGTTAATCAATAAAAAAAAATCAACTGACAAGATTAGGAAAAGCAATACTCAACAAACCAAAATTATTTACCCAGACTTACCCACAGCGCATAATACTTTAAAGAAAAAGAAAAGAGAAAATAAAACTTTGGACCCATACTGAAAAGAAAAAAACTTTAGGTCCGTACTGGAAAGAAAAAGAAAAGAAAAGAGAGAGAGAGAGAGAGAGAGAAACTTCAGGTCCGTACTGAAAAGAAAAATAAAGAAAAAAGAAAAGAAAGAGAGAAAAAGAAGAAGAAAAAAAAAAATTTAGGCCCGTACTGCTAATTTCCCATCCCTCGCTCGGCATGTCGGTGTGAATCACGTCCACGAAGACGGCGTCGCTCGGGTCGAGTCGGACCTCTGGCGGCGTGTTGGTGAAGTAGGGGCCGGCGGGGTCCAGGCCCGTGATGCGCCCGACCTGGAGGGGGGGAGGCGAGGGGGACTCAGCGGGTGGAGGGGTGGGGGGGTGGGGGGTAGGGAGGCGAGGGGAATGAGCAGGTGGAGGGGTGAGTGGGTGGAGGGCAGGGAGGGAGGGAGATGGTGGGTGGATGGGTGGATTGGTAGATGGATGGGTGGGTGGACGAATGGATTAGGTAGATGGATAAGTAAATGGAGGGAGGAAGGATAGATGGATGGATATATTAGATCACTGATTCCCAAAGTAAGCGGCACCTCGTCCTTGATGGAGATTGAAAGGGGGGGGGGGTGCAAAATGGGCGAGAGGAGGGCGACAGTATGGCATTAGGAGCAATTAATGAATTCCTTGCTTTTTACTTCTTGGTTAAATGAGTCTTAAGTTGAGCAGCTGATATCCCTGCATCAAGCACGCCCACCCTATTAACAATAACTGTGAAGACAATCAACCACGTGACTATAGATATCGGAGAGATGTTACTGACAACTATAACCGATATTAATGACACAGCCAAAACTGCTAAATGAATTGGTTTGAAAACAAGGTTTTATTTGTGATATATTCCTCTGTGTTTAAACTTGCTTTCAATCCGAAGCATACCAAGAAAAAGTGTATTCGCATAGGTATTTGAGAGGAGGACTAGGCATCCACCTGGCAGCAAGGGAGGTGCCAGACTGGGAACCACTGGATTAGATAGATGGCGGGAGGGAGGAGTAGATTGATGGAGGGATAAATAGATGTATAGACAAATACGTATTGCAAGTAGAACAATGAAGGGAAGCACAGGAAAACACACGAATATGCCGAAGGCCTTTACTGCCTTACTGCTTCACCAGGGCATGAAGCAGTAAATGCGAAAAAGCCTCCCGAAAATTACGGCCAACATAAAGGGTCTGCGCGTTCGTAGCGCACGAAGCCTTGCTGCGCGATGTGATTAGCAATTCAAGGAACATAAAACAATGATTGGAATTCGGGATCGGAAGGAACTAGGGATATGAGTCATAACATGGAGTTATCTTGGAGGGAGGAATGGAATTAGGTGAGACAGTAATTTTAGATCATCTGAAAGGAGTGGTCTGAGATTGTTAAGAGAAGGGGGTGAAGGGGGTAACTGACATGACCGGAGACAGACTAATGCGACAGGGGTAAGCAAATCTGTGGTATGTGGGAGAGAAGAAGCACAGCTGGACTAAGGTTAGAGGGTATGTTTTTGGGGCCATGGGAGGGGGAAATAGGGGAGTGAGAGGTAAATTTCGGTCTTACAGGAGGCAGTAGAGATGGCTGATCGACAGGAAAGAGGGAAATGGAGATGTTCTGGAGTAAGAAGAGTAAGACCGGGGTGGTTGGGGTATTCTTGAAGAGAAATGTAAATAGTTTAAAGGTCTGAGAGGATTTTTTTGTTTGTTTGTTTGGGGGAGAAAGTGGATGATTGAAGTTTTGAGGCAGGCAAATTATATTTTCCTTGGGTTGGGTTATCTTCTGTTTTTTTTCCCTTATTCTCCATTTCGGGGAAGGGAGAAAGGAAAAATTCTAAGAGGAAACTGGTCATGGGGTTGTAACTTTCAAAAAAAGGGAAAAAGATAACTTGTAATTCTTAGTGAAAGGACTTCCCTTGCGTAGGGGTGGGGTGGGGGGTGGGGGGAGAAACTGGTTTGCAAGGCTCATAAGTGACCCGATGTGGTCGCCTTCTTTTCCTTGAGACTTATTAAAGGAAAAGGAGATTTCAAGCGCCTGCAATGGAGCTCAATCCTATTCTGCTGGTGTTATTAATACCTTGATCCTGCTATCTTACACGGAGACAGGCAAATGAAACTAAGAACAAAAGGGAAAGAAAGGCCATGCAGTTTCTTAATTCATATCTCAGGCCAGTGTGAAAAAACATGTAACAAACTTTACCTTCTCATCTCGGACGGTCTGGACATATTGGCCTGCGTAGCCCATGAGGTGAGAACCCAGGCTATGGCCAATCAGGTGCACTGACCTCAGGTTGACGTCACAAAACTCCTGAAAAAAGGTAATCCATATATTAATATTTCTCTTTTGTTGTGACTGTTGTTTCCTTCTACCTTTCCCCTCATCTCTCTCTCTCTCCTCCTCTGTCTATCTACCTTTTTTCTGTCTGTATCACTGTCTGTGTATCTGTCTCTCTCTTTCTTCCTTTCTACCCCCTCCCTCCCTTCTTCCCCCCTCTCTCTCTTTCTCCCTGTCTTCTCTCTCTCTCTCTGTCTCTCTGTCTCTCTCTCTCTCTCTCTCTCTCACTACATTAACAACAAAATTCTCTTTCCCCTCACTAATAGGTCACAGTTCATGAGTTGTGCTACCCTATATTCCCTGCCAACTATGTATGGCGTTCCTCAAGGCTCGATTCCAGGGCCCTTCCTCTTTCTCCCTTTTATTAATGATGTAGCCAACAGCAGTAGGGTATTCGCCATATATATAGACGACTGCACACTCAGAAGGCCCCAAAATTGAATCCATAATCAATGAGGTTAACAAAGAATTAGCTCTAGTCGATAAACGGACAAAGTGTAATAAGCTAACATTCGATATTATGAATCCTGTTATATGATCTTCACCAGAATGAAAAAAATACCTTGAATTATTCCACAAGTTTCATTTAACGATAAAAAAAATCAAAAGAGAAAATACCGTAAAGATTCTTGGTGCTACTCGAGAGAACAGTCACATCACTTTCATACAAAAGAAAATCAGTAAAAAGTTTGGCATTTTACATCATAACATTTAAAAAACACCCACTCTCACAGCGCAGTTCCATCCAAGTCCAAGCATGAAAAAGCTTATCTCGTTACAAGAGACCAAAACAGAGAAAGTCAAATATCTCTATTATACACACTTATACACAACTCAATCTAAATTCATGATACACAAAAGTCATGTGCGTCACTGTTCTGACATGTAATTTATATAAACTATTTTAGTGATGGATAACTACTCATGTTTCTCCGAGATAAAATATATGTAAGCATTCATATCTCTCATACCAACATGTAAGACATCCTATGGATTACTCATTACTGTCATTTACTTTTTGTAAGAATATCTATACATGCACTACGCTTTAACAAACTAGTCTTGTCAACGTATGTCATCTGCTGTTTCAATACAATGCAATTTGTATCTCCTACAGCGTAGAAGTAATAGTCAACCTTGTTTATATTGCTCGTAAGCTTGTCATTTATTTTTCGTTGGTATTATCAGTTTTTATTAATATTTTGTT